TTATAATAGACATTCATATTTATATATATGTAAATGTAAATATCTAGTCGAAAGAATAAACAAACTTACTCCATTTTTCTCGCATCATTCTCTCTCTCACTTTCTCTCTCTCTCTCACACTTTCTCTCTCTCTCTCTCTCACTTTCTCTCTCTCTCCCTCTCACTTTCTCTCTCTCTCACCTTCCCTCTCTCGCTCTCGCTCTCGCTCTCGCTCTCATTCTCTCTCTATCTCTCTCTCTTTCTGTGTCTTATTTAATCTCTCTCTCACTTTCTCTCTCTCACTCTTACTCTCTCTCTCTCTATCTCTTTCTGAGCCTCCTTTCTTTTTCACCTTATCTTTCCCTGTTTCTCTTTCTTTTCGTATAATTTTTTTCTCGCTTTCCCTCTCTTTCAGTTTCTCTATCATTGTGTCTATCATTGTCTCTTTCTCTCTCTCTCTCTCTCTCTCTCTCTCTCTATCTCTCTCTGTATCGCTCACTCCTCCCTTCCTCTCCTCCAAAATCTCTCAAACTCAGATCATTTTGATAAAACTTCATTCTGAGCTCATTGCATACATGTTATCTGTTCTAGACTTCCTCTAGTCTCTTTGGGCGGCATTTCACAAAGTCTTGGCTTAGTTCAATACCTCAACAAGTGCAAGATTAATTTAGTAAGTGCGTCTATCAGACATACTGTAAGTGTTTGCCTGATTTAATTCGTTTTCTTTTCTCGTGCATGCACAATTCATGGAATTCATTAACAAATTGTTTACCCAAAGCTTTGCTAACCTACTTTGGCACTTTTTTGTGACCGCCTCGTGCCTCCATGCCTTATCTCGAATAGTAAAAGTTAACACTATTATCTTCTTCTTCATGAAATGAATTAATGTGATTTTTTTTTATCGGTAGTTGACAATTTGTGTAAATGACAAATCATTGTTTTGATGGCTTACAAGGTGCAATTACTGATTACAAAATCAAATGTATCGGTTGATATTTTTGCTAGGGACCCATTACTAAAAAAAAAGTTTACATTATCATCATTATCAGCAACAATTTAACATTTATTTGATCAAGTTTTGTTATACTTATTATATGATTTCCAAGGGTTATGTAAGAGCAAAAAAATGAAATGAATCGAATAAGTCGCGAAATCCCCACATAACTTCAAATCAACAGTTAATCCGGAATATCAATATATACCAAAAAGGCCAAGAGGCATAAATATTTCAACAGACAATGTGTTATCGATAAGTTAGGCAAGTGCTCACATATGGTTATCGGAAATGGTATCACTCTTGTCTGGCCGGTTGGCCTATATATAATAAAAACAATCTATTGGGAACTTATCCAATATCAGTTACCTAACCTAAGTACGTGCCTAAACTTTGCTCGGATGGCCAACTAATCATATTCTCAATGAAGATCTTGCCTGATATACGAGATGTTTTTCATTCTTATTAAAGTTTTAAAAGTTTATCGGCCCATGACACGCTTCTTTCGTAGCCAAACCAAAAAAAAACAATAAAAATAAAAAAAA